CAGGGCATTTGGGGAACTACCTGGAGAAAGCCAATTACCTACCTGGGTGAGTGCTCCCCCCCACCAGCACACCTGAGGCCTCAACCCTTGTGGTCATAAACGTGCTCCTGCTTCTGGTGTGTGTGTGTGTGTTGTTGTTGTTGTTGTAGTGGTCTTGTGATGGTGGCCACCTTCAACCCCTGCACTCAATCTTTCTTTCTCTTTTATCATCCTACTCTCTCTCTCTCTCTCTCCTCTATCTTTATCTATGTATGTATCAATCTACCTATCTATCACTCTCTTATCTTTGCATTCCACATGGCTGCAGTGACGTCATCGTGTTTACATTACCATGCTGCCGTAAAGTCACGAGGGAGATCATGTCTTTAAGGGTTATCTCTCAGCTGTTTCCTGTAGGATTATCAATGTAAACAACAGAGAGGAGTGAAGAGAGGGTTAGCATGTTAATGGGCCGAGCAGGATGGATATTACAACCTGTTTTATTACGCTGGATTGGTGGTGGAGGAGTGGGGGTGGATGAGTGGGAGTGGAGTGGTGTAGTAGGGGTCGAGGGGGTGAGGATGAGTGGGCGTGGAGTGGTAAAGGAGAAGTGGGAGTGGAGGGGTGGGAGTGGGGTGTTGGAGGAGGGGTAGTGGAGGAGGGGTAGTGGAGGAATGGGGGTGGAGTGGTGGTGGAGTGGTGGAAGACAGGGTGTTGTGTTACCTACTACTACAGCAGGCTAAGGCGTTATATAGTGTGGTTCACTTACACCAATGACCTCCTTTTGATGGTGGTGATAAAGGTGGCGGTGGTGATAATGGTGGTGGTGATGATAATGGTGGTGGTGATGATAATGGTGGTGATGGTGGTGTGATGGTGGTGATAAAGGTGGCGGTGGTGATAATGGTGGTGGTGATGATAATGGTGGTGGTGATGATAATGGTGGTGATGGTGGTGATAATGATGGTCAAGATGGATTTAAAAAAAGGTAATATTCGACGAAATATTAAAAAGTTCCAACTGTGTGTTTGTGTGTGTTTGTGTGTTTGTGCGTGTGTTTGTGTGGGTGTTTGTGTGTGTTTGTGTGTAAGAGAAGATAATCTGAAACTCAATCATTCTTTAATATTCTTTTAAGCGGTACAGTATGTTGATGCGTACGTCAAGTGAGTTAACTTTCAAATAGTGAACCTGGTGCTGGTGGTAGTGCTGATGATGAAGCCCTCGGTAGTGCTGTGTTGTGATGACGTCACGGCATCGCCCAGGGCAAGGCCGCCTACCCGCTGCGTCCTAACCTCAACCCCTGGCTATGACTTCCACTTGGTATCAACTTTAATATTATATAAAACACTTGATTTTCCCGAGTACAATTGCAAGATCATCAATACCTTCAATTTCAAAATGCAGAGGAAACATGAAACTGACTTACTGACAACGAAAAAATAAACAGAAAGAGAGAAAGATAGAAAGAAAGAACTTAAAAGCGAGTGAACGTCCAGGCGTTGGGTTGAACGTGTCGCTCACACTTTCTACCGGACCTCACCTGGGAACGGTGCCAACATCATGGACGACGCTCTGCAATTCCCCGCAGCCCATGTTTTGTTATCGCCACCACCATCTGTTGCATCACTCTGCATTATATTATTGCATGTCAAGGGCCAGCGGAATGTTGAGAATGTGTGTGTGTCAGGTGCGAGAGGAGGTGTGAGGTGCGAGAGGAGGTGTGAGGTGCGAGAGGAGGTGTGAGGTGCGAGAGAGGGTGTGAGGTTGCGAGAGGAGGTGTGAGGTAGTGATAGAGAATAGGAGGAAAGGCAGGGATGGGAGGAGGAGAAGAATGAGTAGGATAAGGAAGAGAAAGAGAGAGAGAGAAGGAGGAGGAACTGGAGGCAACACAAGAAACAAAACACCATCGGCGTATTAACAAGATAATAACAACAACAATCTGCCCTTAAGGTAACTCGATAATTTACTACTACTGTTACGACACAGAGCCAGGTAGCCCCAACACAGAGCCAGGTAGCCCCAACACAGAGCCAGGTAGCCCCAACACAGAGCCAGGTAGCCCCAACATAGAGCCAGGCAGCCCCAACACAGAGCCCGGTAGCCCCAACATAGAGCCAGGCAGCCCCAACACAGAGCCAGGTAGCCCCAACACAGAGCCAGGTAGCCCCAACACAGAGCCAGGTAGCCCCAACACAGAGCCAGGTAGCCCCAACATAGAGCCAGGCAGCCCCAACACAGAGCGGCCTTTATTTATACCCAGATCATGTTTCACAATCTTAAATAAATCAGGTTTTTTGCTGCATTATATCATCTCCAATAACATATACAGTGAAACCTGAATCCTCTATTTAACGGACTACAGGGAGAGGAAAATCCGTTATATCAAGGGTTCGTTAGATGTGAAACCCCCAACTAGCGGATTATATGGAGAGATAATCCGTTATATGGAGGTTTTACTGTAGGAACCTCTGTGAATTAGTATTACGTATTATTATGATTACTATTATTGTTATTATTATTATTATTATTATTATTATTATTATTATTATTATTATTACGATCCCGTGAGGAACTGGGGCTAGGTAGCGAAGAACTGGGGCTAGGTAGTGAGAAACTGGGGCTAGGTAGTGAGAAACTGGGGCTAGGTAGTGAAGAACTGGGGCTAGGTAGTAAGAGGAATTGGCAACAGTGGTCATCATCAGAAAGTATAAGAAGGCGGCTCACAGAAGGCTCAAGACCCCCACAGAAGGCTCAAGATCCTCACCATCAACAACCGGTATAGCTGTACAAATTCGGTCAAGCGCAAGAGATATGGACCCGTCTACCCGTCTCCCGCTTCCTTGTTGTGGCTTGTCGATTACTTCACCCTGGGTAAACACACCGTCTGATATCTCCTCGGATAAAAAAACCCCAAACCTTTTCCTGTCTACTGGGAGAGAACTGGTTCCTGCAATCCTCCATAGATGTTCTCTGAGCAACATTTACACCATCTCTCTACTGTATATGTCTGTTTGTCTGTCCCCCTCTGTCTCTCTGTCTCTCTGTCTGTCTGTCTCTATGTTTCAATGTTCATAAACCATCGTGTCTTTGTATCGTAGTCTAAACAAATCAGATGATGATGATGTTCTTGAGGTGAGGTGAGGTTAAGTGACGTGGGGTTAGGTTAGGTTTGGTTACGAGCCTTCAGTACTGTATAAACCTTCGTCTTATCTTCAGGTGTGGACAGGTGACAGTTGTACCTCAGTTATCACCTGTTGGTCTCAGTGTTGGTGATGGAGTGATAATGCTGGTGATGGTGTTGGAGTGGTGCTGGTGGAGTGATGGTGTTGGTGTATTGGTGGTGGTAGTTGTCAATTTTCTTTTCATTCTATCTATCTATCTATCTGTCTATCTATCTATCTATCTACCTTTGTCTTCCTGTATCTGTCGGTGTCTGTGTAAGGGGAGGGAGGGAGGGGGGGACTTTCACTGTAGTAATGAGAGGTAGGTAGTGGGGTGGAGGAGGGGCTGGAGGGGGAGGGACAGCAAGGTAGGGTCGGATATTGTCCCTCCTCGCTTCCTTATACAGCTTTACCATCATTAGAAGTCAGTCCGCTCTCAGCCCTGGAGGGGGGAAGGTCGCTTAAAACGGTCTGGGAGGGGGGCCATGCTGGTGTGGTGGCCATGACAATCTGGGGGCCATGCTGGTGTGGTGGCCATGATGGTCTGGTAGCCATGACGGTCCATGGGTCGTTATGGCCTATGGTCCATTAAACTCAGTAGGACAACAACTAAGAGAGTCTAATAACCAACCAATAGTTGTCGAGCTGCCCAGAGCCTATATAATTATACAAACTCATTATCCTACCAGCATACACACACACTGGTACACACAACGAAGCACATACACACACAGGTATACACACACACATGTATATATACACACACAGGGAAATCAAGAGTATGGTACAGTTCGGGGTGATACGGCACAGATCTGGGTGGTAGAGGTCGGGAGATACCAATTTGTTCGGCGCCAGTTTGGGCGGCGGACAGGGCGGGATGGGGCAGGTTGGAGCGGGGATGGGGCAGGTTGGAGCGGGGATGGGGCAGGATGGAGCGGGGTTGGGGCAGGATGGGGCGGGCCAGACGGAGGGAGAGGAGGTGGGTTACCTTGCAGGCTGTAGCTTTCTTTAGAGAGGTCCACTAAATGGCCCACTTGTCGGGTCTTATGGTTCGTCCGGGAGAAAGTCCGGCAAACTGCTGCCAGGAATCACCTTGCCCCCGCTTTTCACACACACACACACACACACACACACACACACACACACACACATGGCTGCTACCATCACCTTCAGTACTGTATACTAGGATGGTCTACCGTGTGATACAAGATTACAACACCACATACATCCCCACACATATACATGGTTGCTAAAAGGTACACACACATACATACACACACACACACACACACACACACACACACACACACACACACACACACACACACACACACACACACACACACACACACACACACACACACACACACACACACACACACACACACACACAAGAAAAAAAAGGCCTGCGGATACGAATTAACAGTTTTGATTCCAATTTACTGAACCTTCAATTTAGAACTGCAAGATATATTGTTAAATGTTGATGACACACGAATATTGCACTGTAGTCAGTGTTGTGTTGTAGAATTGTGAGTGCTGTGTTAGTGTTGTTATAGTGTTGTGTTGTAGTGAGTGTATTGTAGTGTAGTGTGTTGTTGTGAGTGATGTGTTGTAGTATTGTGAGTGCTGTGTTAGTGTTGTTATAGTGTTGTGTTGTAGTGAGTGTATTGTAGTGTAGTGTGTTGTTGTGAGTGTTGTGTTGTAGTATTGTGAGTTGCTGTGTTAGTGTTGTTATAGTGTTGTGTTGTAGTATATTGTGGTGTGGTGTAGTGTGTTGTGTTGTAGTACTGTGAGTGCTGAGTTAGTGTCGTGTTGTTGAGTGTTTTTGTATTTTACTAATGCTGTTGTCTCCTGCAGGTGTTGGTGGCGGCGGCGTGTGTGGTGGCCACGGTGGGGCTCTCCAGAGACCAGCTCACCAGCGGCTCCGATGCTCCCGCCAGACGAATGAGGAAGACGGAGTACGACAAGTGTTCTCATCCCTTCCACTCCTGGCTGTGTAGCCCGAGTCCTGCGGCGAGGAAGCGTTTCCCTGTGTCCCCTCCCTCTACCACGACCCGGAGGCCGCCTCCACCCACCACTACACCTCCACCACGTCAAGGCTCCCTCCTTGATGCCGAGCCTTCAAGAGTAGGAAAGCCCCAGTCTGTGCCTTTCCCAGGTTCACCTTCATCTCCTCCTCCTACCGTCCCACCACCACCTCCACCTACCACACAACCTCCTCCACCACCTACTACACCACCTCCTCCACCACCTACTACACCGCCTCCTCCTCCACCTACCACACCTGTTCCTCGTCGAGGTAGCATCTTGTTCTCCGAAGCAACACAAGCTAGGAAAGGAGGAATCTCCGACTCCGTACCTGCCCCAGGTCCTCCTGTACCGCCACCTACGGTTCCTCCACCATCCTCCACGCCTTACGACAGGTGCTCCCACCCCCTACACGCGTGGCGGTGCAGGACTTCTAGTACCACCCCAGCCCCGCCACCCACCAGGAGCGCCTTCGGTGACTTCCCTGATGCCTCCTTCACTGCGAGGGTGCAGCAGCTGCCCGAGGCCCTTCCAACACCCACTACACCTGCACCTCCACCACCCAAAACTTATGACAAATGTTCACATCCATTCCACTCGTGGTTATGTCAGCCGGCACCAAAACCCAGGACCACCCATCGCCCACCACGCCCACCCACAACTCCCCGTCCACCACCACCGCCCACAACCGAAGCACCTGCAGGGTCTGGTGTATTCCCCGACGCCACCAACTTTCGGCGTGGCTCAATACTCTTCTCGGAGGCCTTATTCCCGTCACCTCCTCCACCCACCACAACCACACCCCCTCCTCCACCCACTACAACTCCCTATGATAAGTGTAACCATCCTCTCCACGCCTGGCGCTGCCAAAAGTCCACAAGACCACCGTCGACGGAGGATCCTTCCCCCGCCGGAGGTTTACTCGACCCTGAGCCGGCCAACATCCCAGCAGGAGTGGTGCTGCCTGCCCCGATGACCAACACGCCACCACCTGCACGACCCAGGAGTTTCCCCACGACACCTAAGCCCTCGTGGGATGGCGCAGACCCCTGCTCCCACGCATTCCACTCTTGGCTCTGTAAAACACCAAGTCCTCGAATCACGCTTCCTCCATCAACACGCCCCCCTCCCCCTCCTACAACAACACCACCGAGACAAGGAACACTGCTCAGTCCAGATGCATCATTCCTGCCTCCAGCATCCATCTTCTTCCCTGACAACTCTCTTACCACCACCACAACAACCACAACTCCTCCACCACCACCCACAACAGAGCCTCCACCACCCCCTACAACAGAGCCTCTACCACCTCCTACAACAGAGCCTCCTCCTCCCTCTACTTTAGCCCCAGCTTCAGGAAGCTTTTTGGCCGCTGAACCCTTGTTTCTGCGACAAGAGCCCCTGGCAACCCCAGAATTAGACCCACAGCCAGAGCCAGAACCCACACTCACCGACTTCTGTAACCATCCCTTCCACAGCTTCCTGTGTGATAAGCCCAAGAGGCGCTTGAGTAAACCCTCTCTAAGACTCACCACTGCCGCCAAACCACCCTTGGACGAACCCGAACCTGGAGCCTCATTCCTCGCCCCTAAAACCAGGACAGATCCAAAAGGGCGTGGAAGCTTCCCCGACACACTTGCCAACCCAACAACACCAGCGACCGACTACAAGTGCAACCATCCGTTCCACTCGTGGCGGTGTCGTCCAGCCTCAGAAGGATCCAAAACCCAGGGAACGGTGACCACCTCCAACACCTTCCTGGTGGGGGTAAAAGAAATACCTAACATCCAGAACCTGCCACTGGAAGGTGACAATGATGCCGAAGTCACAAGATTTCAGTCGCTGAGGAAATTGGGAAATTCGTTTGGCGGTTTGAGAGACGAGAACAGCAACTCTGCTGTGTCGACCATCACAGAGTCACCTGGATTCATCCCCACCGTCCCAACTATTCCAGGCGTTCCTACCATTCCTACTGTCCCCACGACTCCTCAGCCCATTCCAACAGTTCCTACAGTTCCAGGATTCATACCTACTGTTCCTACTGTGCCTCCTACCTCAGCGTCTCGGAATTCCTTTGGGCAAGGCAGCAAGGCACGGTCCTCCCGCCAGAAGGGCCGCAAAGTCCTGCGGAGAGCGCCAGCTAGCCTCTACTCCTCTTCCCTTGATGGACACTCACGCGAACCAGGATTTTCTGGCGAGTTTGTTGCCTCACCATCAGTCCTTCACCCTAGTGTAGCTGCCCAGAGCCTTGTACGTGTCCCTCCTCCTCCAAGTTCGTCTCACTTCTTGCCCGACTCATCTTCTGATACTTCTCCTCCTCTGTCTCCAAATTGGACAGTTTCTTCCTCGCTTCCTTCCTTTTTCATCTCACCTGCTCCTAAACCTCACAGTTTGTTCTTCTATTCCCCACATGATTCTTCCACGCATTCTCCATCTACCCCTCCTTCTCCTCACCCACGTTCCTCTTCAAACCCATCTTCCCCTCCTCGCCCACCTCCTTCTCCTCCTCCACCTGTTTTTCCCCCGCCACTTCCCTCTCATCCACGTTCATCTTTCTACCCCTCGCAGTTCTCCCTCCCCGATCCACCCTCAGAAGCTGCCTTTCCTCCTCCCCCTTCACCGAGGCAGCCAGACCCTACGTCACACAGAGCCCGGACAGTGTCGACCTCTCCACAGAAGGTTGGCCCACCACCTCCCCGTCCGCCACACCTACCAACAGAGGGCGACGAGACACCCACACAAGATGAGGCTCTGATAGCTCAAGGTTCCTCCCCTTCTGTAGTGAGACTGGCCTTACCTTCACACCAAACATTTCTTGGAGTTCACACGTTCGAACCCCAGCGGACAATCCCGAGAAAACTGTACGTCATCTAGACTCCCCACAACCACCACCACCATCATCACTACTCCTGGATCATGGAAATGGTATGGTACATCACCTAAGAACTCCTGCTGATGATTATATCCCATGGAGGTGCTCCATTGTTTAGATGTCTCAGATCATACTCAAATGCCCCCCAGATCATGTCTCATGGAACCTAAACCTTATGAGTCCTGGAGTGTTAAACTATCATTGTCAAAAGGGTTAAACCATTGCCAAAGGTTTAAATTATCGTTGTCAAAGAGGTAAACCCTCATCATCATAAGGTTAAACCATCATCATCAAAGGTTTAAACCATCGTCATCAAAGAGTTAAACTCTTGTTGTCAAAGGAAAAAGTTTAAACCAAGTAAATAAAACAGGAAAACAAATCTATCCGACCAGACCTAAAACCCAGGCTGTTTATAGGTTAAGTGAACTACGGTGATTATTGAAACCATCCATCGTCGTGTTGTGAGGTGAAAACATTGAATATAAAACTTAACACTGAGAGTTTTTGTCTTGGAAAAAAAAAAAAAAACAGAAAAAATAACACACACTATAATATTTACAGAAGAGAGCAGGTTATACCCTCTAACCTAACCTACAGAGACAACTTGGTCAAACATTGTGAATCATTCCCTCTCTCTTTCCATAATGTAAGACTGATTTACTTCTTGAAAGCCAAAAAAGAAAGAAAGATTATTATATGTTGCTCTGCTAAACTAGATATACTTCTGAAATATAGCTTCGTCTGTATGGATATATAGACATACTAACCATATATTAAGTGGGTCAGTGTTTACGCCTGGGCTGGTCTTAAGGCATGGGGGAGGGGAGGGGGGAGGGGTAGCCAAGTGCTGTATTTAATATGTTACTCCTTAGATTAAGTCTGGTGATCCCTGGCGGCGCTGTGCTTCTTGCTGCTTATACTTGACTGTTTTTTTTTAATGTTTAGCTAGTGATTTTTTTTTAGATACAAAACACTCTACTCGTTCCTTTAAACTGACACGTTAAGTTTACATTGTATATAGAATTAGTATAAAACCATATACAGTACAGCAGATGACCATTAATGCTGCCACAATGTACATAATGTATCAAGACTATGTAGGTTTAATGTCGCCTACTGTGGCCAAGATGACTGACTGCCTTAAGGGGCCTAGCGGGTCTGGGTCTGTCCCTCAAAATCACTGTAAAAATAAAGTCAAGTCAGTTAGTCAGTCTCAGCACTGTAGGTCATATCTTACCAACATGGTCTTCTGGCGTCGTCATGAAAGGAATAAAAATTGTGAAGCTGAAGCCAAATTTTCAGAAAAAAGAAGAATTGGGAGTGTCCTGAAAAGGGTGGCAGGGAAGGAGGAGGAGGAGGACCCACCCACCAGTGACATGAAGGCAGTGGTGGTTCTCTGCGGCACAAAGCACCACAACTACAGCTTTGTAATTAGTTTAGTCCTGACAGCGACATTACTATCCTCCACCACAGGCTGGCTCCTGAGGTGTGGCTAAGGATGATGTAGCTGCCTTAATATTAATAATAGTTATAGCTGTTGCATGTTGCTGTGGGTGATGATAGTCGGCAAAGAGCCACACCACGAGAGCTGCCAGGGAGCACCACACCATGAGAGCCACCAGGGAGCACCACACCATGAGAGCCACCAGGGAGCACCACACCATGAGAGCCGCCAGGGAACACCACACCATGTATTCACCACCACAGATCTCATTTACTCGACCCAAGAACCATTGTCTAGGAGAGTAAACACAGCTCCTGTTCTTGATGTCTCGTCTCTGCGCCCAGTTGTCATTTTTACTGGTGTTAGATGGTGTACCGCCTCGGCTTGAACAGTCCATAAGGAGGAGGAGGAGGAGGAGGACTTCCAAACTCATTATTTGGATCCTACTGTATGACGTTGTATCCTCATGTGAGTGTGACTTATAAAGCCAGCTTAACAGAAGTAGTCGTGGTCAGTACTGGATGCTGAACCGCTTTAGATATATTATTATTAGCTTTGGGTTAACCGGCTGGGCCGATTATTACCACGCACGTCACACACACACACACTTAGGGTGGCACTAAGATTGGCCCTCATGAATTAATCTTAGTGCCACACCTTATGAACCAATCTCAGTGCCACACCTTAAGGTACGACTGGCTGGCTGGACCAGTAACAAGCGTACTCGACGATCCTGATGAATGAAGATGCGGCCACTGTTATTTTAACTGTCGGTGATATAGTACACGTTAACAGTCAGAAAAAGTTAACTGTACGAGCAACAATAAACTTTCTTTTACGTAGAGCTAAGGTGAGATACTGTAACCCTGGACCTGCTACACTGAGTGACCAGCTGTTTCATCACTATAAACTCTTATTGTTGTGTTATGTTGCATCACTGCCTGTCCTTTGTAGAGGCTTTACTATAAACATACACTGAAACCTCTATTTAACGGACTATATGGAGAGAAAAGTCCGTAATATCGAGGGTCAGTTAGATGTGAAACCCTCCATCTAACGGATTATATGGAGAGAGAAGTTCGTTATATGGAGGTTTTACTGTATGTGTTATTATATTCTTAATGAACCAGACATAACAGCCTCGTGTGTAACCGTGTCTAGGCACCAAGAAATGCTAACATATAAATCTCATTGTGAGGCTGTCTGTAAGCTGATGTAACCAATCAGATGTCAGAATCAGATAATATAACCACAGTTCAGAAATCTGGGAGCTGATTGGTTGACCCTCTAGCCTGTGACCTAAAGTAACCAATCAAGCACCGGAGACAGCTGGTGTCTGTATATAACCCCGTGTATTAACAAAAGCTTGTAAACAATAAATCTAATGCATCACATAATCTATAATTTCTTCATCTTATTATTATTATTATTATTTACAAATATAAACTTATATATATATATATGCTACCCATCAGTAAGGAAAATAAAGTTTATATATAGACTAAAAGACAACAATACATGGCTTAAGTTCAGAGATTAAATACAAGGATGTGTTTGGTTACCTTCACTGTAGGTTAGGTTAGGTTTCCTTCACGGTTTGTCAGGTTCAGTCTGCCTCACCTCACCTTAGTGATATTGTCTCCTGCCTGTGAGGGATGATGGAACGCCCTGTAGCATAGCAAGGTAGTACTGGAAGGGACTACTGTATCAGGCAGGGGGGGCTACTGTAACACCGAGGGACCAATTTAGTAACAGTGGAAGGGACTACCACGCAGGGGGGGGCTATTGTAACACCAATATAGCACTGGGAGGGACTAACACCCAGAGGGCTACTGTAACACCCAGCACCAATATATCACCACTGCAAAGGACTACAGCAAGGGGCTGATTGAAAATACACACAGCAGATACTAACATACTAGGCACGAGACTTACCTAACGTAACATGGAGAAAGGCCCTTGACAAGAGGAGGTGACCAGATGTAACAAACACGATCAAAGCCTTGGGCCGTGTTTGAGAGCCGAGTGTGTGTACAATATGGCCTGATGATGGGTGGATCTTGGGGTGGATGACAAACACAGGCGAGCGCTCTGAGGAGGTAAATATTGGCTGAGTACACAGAAAAACTAATTCCTACCGGAAATAAGAGAACAAATCCTAACATAGATAAAATAAATCCTATCCAAAAAGAAGTGAAAATCGCACTAAAAAAAATCCTACCAGAAAAATACGACTAAAAAGGCAAAGCAAAACAGTAAATAATTAAATAAATAAATAAACCTAAACAAAGAACAAAATCACTCAAGCCCAAAGAAAATCGCAGGAGTGAATATTTGATGTAGAAAATACCGATAAACACACACACACACACACACACACACACACACACACACACACACACACACATTAGTATAAATAAAATCCTATTAAAATTACAATGTTTAAAATATCAGTACAGTTCAGGTTTAGGTGAGATCAGATCAAGTTTTATTAGGTTAGGTTAAGTAAAGTTTGGCTAGGTTAGGTTAAGTTGAGTTAGGTTAAGTTAGGCTTGGTTAGGTTGAGTTGTGTTTGGGTAAGTTAAGTGGAGTTAGATTAAGTTGAGTTGGGTTTGGTTAGGTTAGGTTTGAATAGGATGAACTATACATTAAGATAACTTTTAAAATTCTGGTCAGGCTAGAAATGGGACAGACAAAACTTGACTAGACTGAGTGAAGGTATAAAGCCTCTGACCACGAACCACCCTCCCTAGCCCTTCTTTTTTTTTTTTATTGGGCACCCCCCTACATCCTTGTGTAAGGTGAAGCGCAGAAGCGTTTACAGCGCCCAACAGGGAAGCATGCTAAGTTCATGCTTGCCTTTATGTCTCATGAGTTAAGGGCATAGAAGCCTGAAGAGTCAAGGGCATAGAAGCCTGAAGAGTCAAGGGCGTAGAAGCCTGAAGAGTCAGTGGTTTATATCATCAAGTTATTGGAAGCTCCAACAACTCCCTGAATACGAATTCGCAACTTTCGACTTCTCCTCCCCGCCAGGTAGGTCCCGAGGTGCAGGTCAGCAGGGTCATTAGCAAGGACTGACCCACATGACCTCACTGACCCCCCTTCTCCCTCCCTCCCTCTCTTCCTCCCTTTCTCTCTCTCTCCAAACCCTCTCCCTCTCTCTTTCTCTCACTATATTCTCCCTCTCTCATCGAGACACCTTCCCCCTCTCACCACCCCCCCCTCCCTATCACCAGACACCCCAGTATTTGAGACGGTGGTGAGTGAGGTAAGTACCAAGATAGTGACAGGGCTAGTACCAGAGGACAGTACCACAGTCAGACTAGAGCCAATACCGGAGGACAGTACAAAAGCCAGTACCAGAGGACAGTACCAGAGTAGAGTACCATGGCAGCAAGGAAGGAGAGTCGCTCGTGACCCTCGCTGCACACACACACACACACAACACAAAGCACATTCCCCCACACTCCAGTGAAAGCAGCACCTGCGGTCCAGGGATACCAGCTGTATCTCTGGGTCCCTCCTCCCCGTCCTACTGTCCTACCCTCCATCCACACCACACTTCCTCCATCCCTCCTTACCCTCCACCCACACTAACCCACACCACTATCATCTACCCATACCAATACTACCACTATCTTCCGCCTTCTTCGCTACTCACACCTAGCTGCCCTCCTCTCTCTCACCACCATGTACACATCACACTCCTTTCTCTTCTCGTTTCTCATGTAGGACAAATGAACAATAACCCGGAGTCAGTAAATTAATAAGTATTTAATATGTTACAGCAGGAGTCATGCTCTCCTTACGTGCCAGGTAGAGTGAGAGTGTGTGTCGGGCTCTATAACGGTGACACACACACACACACACACACACACACACACACACACACACACACACACACACACACACTATCATCTCTAACATGTAAACAAACTGATCTACACTGCTGGTTTTAATGCCTCTGTAAACTCAGTGAATGTTTATTGTCCATGGCGTTAGCAAACTATTAAAACAAAAGACGATCTCCCTGTCCCTTCTGCCCCCCCCCCCTCCTAGTTCAGAGGACGAGATGTGACTAGGACTGACGGAGGCGCTGCTGGGGAGATACTGCACGAGACGGATGGGAGAGACATGTCCATAAATCCTTAAAGAGTCATCACCCTTCCTCCCCCGGCCAGCAGAGACCAACAGAGACTCGTTGATCAAGTCGATGAATTTCCTCTCAAATATAGTTACTTTTAAAGACATTCTAATACAGATAGTTTCCAGGGTAGTCAGTAGTATATATATATATTATCTCTGACTTAATGTGATGCACTCTGGAGGTTCTCGTCAACTCTTGCCAACAACCAGAATTATTATATCTGCCCCCTGCCCTCCCGTCACACACACACACAGAGGTCGCGTGGAAGGTCGTGCTTGGTGCTACAGGCAGGTACACAGAGGTAGTTACTTACAATGAGATAGAGCCGCTACCTAGGTGTACAGACAAGTAACAAGAAACACCTGTCACACTGACTTAGGGGAGTATCTTTGTATATTAACATGTACACACAGTCAACTAGTACTTGGGTGCACATGTATGTACACAATAGTACTTACGAACAGATGGACAAACCTGGGTTGAGACTACCTGGGTATACAAGGTACCTACGATGACAGCTACACAGACACACAACTATTAAAGGGAATACACAGGGTGTACACATAACACTAGTATACACACACCTCATACAGTCGTCCATCATACACAGAATGTACACATCCACCTGTCCTTTGTCACACATACACCTGTCTTCATACATACATACAACTTTCCCCTACATAAACACACACACACTACACCCTCAAACACACATAAAATTGTCCTTACACACATACATACAACCTCCCCCCCTCCACGGTCCTTGGCATGGCTAAATAATCAATGTGTATTTATTTGCATTCCAGCTCCCTGGTCAGCCAAGACGACTCTAAGCTTCGGTGGGGTTAAGGGTCAATTTCCTACCGTGTATGGTGCTCAAGAGGGCCTTAATGCCACTGTGGGTTGGCATATCCTTGCCTCGTGATACCAACAAGATAGTGGTCGTCTTTCTTTCCTGATGCTAAAGGTAGGCAACCCCCCCCCTATCCCTCCTATCTCCATCCCTTCCCCTCCCTACCTTTCTTTTCTCTCTCCTTTCCTCTTACTCCCTCCCTATCCTAGCTTAACCTACTCATCTCCCTCCCTCCTTTCTACTCTACCTCCCTTTCTGACAGCCCTCTTCCCTCCCTCCATCTATTTCTCCCTTGCGCACCCTCACCCCCTCCTCCCCCTTCTCGGGTGAAAGTTACATCCCAACATCAGAAAGGGCGAATCCTTTCACTCCCTTTCTATTTCTCTTATCTGAATACCCTGACTTCCTTTCTCTCTTTATTTCTCTCACCTTCTTTCCCTCTACATCTTTCACTTCTCTATCTCTCTCATGACACTATACACTCAACATTCTCTCGTCCAGATCGATATATTTTCACCAAATATCACGTCATCAGTCGCCTCCCATATATGGCAAGGATAAACATTAGTATTACACGCGCCTCATCCACTTGAAATTCCTTGGCTATAGTGAGGCTGCCTATACCTTCAGTGGCTCCCAGCGCCTTCTGTTGTTTACTTACATATAAACTAAATATTTGCAGGGCTAGATGTTGTTGATGTATTGGTATCTTTCACTAGAATATACTCAGTGGTTCCCGGTAACACCTTGTTGTTTACATACCTATAATACTAGTAAATAATCTCAGTGGTTCCTGGCATCTCGTGTTCTTTACATATCATACAAAATAACCTTATCTCTCTCTTGCTCCTCTCTCTCTCTCTCTCTCTCTCTCTCTCTCTCTCTCTCTCTCTCTCTCTAAGCGAGAAGCAGACAAAGAACATAGAGTTACTGTGGATCCCTTGTTGACTTTCTTGAAACCAAAACAAAAGAATGATGGATTCAAAATTCCACAAGACACACAAGTCCCTCCTTCCTCTCCCTTCCTTGTCTTCTTCCTTTCTCCTCAGCCTCCTCCTCTCCCAGGTCAACGTCAGCAGTAGGCCAGTGTCCTCAGGCAACACAGGTAAGCTCCAAAAGGTAATTAGTAATCCCTACGCAGGTACTCCTTCCCTCTCTCTCCACGATACGCAACGCCTTGGGAAAGTTTTTTTAATTCTACGTGTGTGTGTGTGTGTGTGTGTGTGTGTGTGTGTGTGTGTGTGTGTGTGTGTGTGTGTGTGTGTGTGTGTGTGTTTTACAGGCATTTTAACTTGTTTTTGAAAATATATATGTGTATCTGCTTATTTACTTACATATGTAACTATGTGTGTTGTTTGTATTTTATATATACTGTATAAAAAAGTTACTAAATGTATCTTAAAACAAACAAGGGAGACAGCTGCCGCCTAGCAACACGCCCACTATCACCACCTGCACAAAACAACCCACGCAACACTCATAACTACCCCAGACAGTCATAATTACCACCATCTAACTACTCCTCTCCAGCCTGGCTCTAACAGGTGAAAAATATATTGTGTTGCCGTCAATCCCCAAACATTATAAACATCTTGTAACCCTCAAGTCATAATTCACAGTTGGAGAGCCATCATTATCGAAAGGTTTTTTTTTTACCCTGTTGCGACCGTCTGATGGTAAATAAATACTGGGTGTTCAATTATCTTTGGTTAATTTGAAATATAGTGAAACCTCGATATAACGGAATTCTCTCTCCATTATAATCCGTTAGATGGGTTTTTTACATCTAACGGACCCTCGATATAATGGACTTTTAATCTCTATAGGTTAGGTTAGGTTACTGTTCCTGAAGTATGAATTAATTTGATTTATTTTAGGATTATCATTTATTTTTCTCCATTTATTTAACTTTATGTTACCTTTAAGTTTACTGTATATCCTCTGTTGTTATACCTGCATCATCACCACCATCACCACACAATACCTCCTGCAACACCACTACACTAAACCTGTACCTGCATCACCACCACCACCACCACACAATACCTCCTGCAACACCACTACACTATACCTGTACCTCCATCACCACCACCACACTATACCTCCTGCAACACCACTACACTATACCTGTACCTCCATCACCACCACCACACTATACCTCCTGCAACACCACTACACTATACCTGTACCTCCATCACCACCACCACACTATACCTCCTGCACCATTACCATGTAGCAGTGTACAGTTGGTGACCCAGTGACTAGACAACGAACAAGTGATCAAATGCACTGTGATGCTACAACTGTACAACAAGATGGGGGGGGGTGTGTTGGCGCCAGAGTGTCTCGAGGCCTACTTGGCACTTAGCATGGGTTGGGTTAGGTTAGGTCCGGTAGAAAGTGTGAGGCGTCAGTTCCCTTAATATTTCTGAACTCATCTTTACAGTATTAATCAAATGTCTATGTCACGGCTCCTACACACCGATCTCTCGTGTAACAGGCGCACGAGAAAAATGGAATAAGTAAGGACAGTAAACATATCGAAGCAAATGTCATAGTCAATAGGTAGTAGTCTCGGATAGGAGAGTAGGCGGCCTTGCCCTGAGCTACCCCGTGACGTCAACACAACACTACTTACTCGTGGCCTTGTTGCTCAGTACACTATCTGCATCATTACTACACCAAAAACATCTATACTGTTACAGAGACTCACCGCTGGTTTAATCCTACACAGTACAGAAACATGAGATACAATGTTGAACCTTCTTAAGTACTGTATACCCCTATAACCTACTGGCACCCAACACACTTTTACCAGAGGGAAGTGAGCATCGTCCAGGAACACCAACAACAATATTACTTGTCATTAACATTTTATATATAAGCAGCACCATGTTTTATCCACTGCTCTCTCTCTCTCTCTCCCTCGTTATCATGTTTTCTCTCATTATATTTCTCTACGTGTGTGTGTGTGTGTGTGTGTGTGTGTGTGTGTGTCTACTGTCATGGGCGTTGAGGTGTTGTAAAGGAGGAAACAGTAATGTGCTTTCATATGTAAATATACAGGTGCTCTCTCTTTCTCTCTCCCTCCCTTTCACTCTTTCTGTCTAGTTCGTTCCCTTCTTTATCTCTTTCTCTCTCCCCTTCCTCCCCCCCCTCTCTCTCTCTCTTCTTTACATATCTCTCCCCTCCCCCCCCTCTCACACTCACCATCAACAAAGACCCAGAGAGAAACTAAGAAAGATCAAGTGAGTGAAACAAAGGAGGGAGGGAGGGAGGGCGGGAGGGAGGGAGACAAGACAGCCTCCAGGCACCACAGTTCAGGTATAATACTGACACCTTTAATAACAGGTAAGTGGCAGTACAGGTGTGTTTACCTCCTGTGACTTAACTCCCAGACTGAGAAAAATGGCCAGACGAAGAGGTAATGTAGTGTAGTGTAGTGTAGTGTAGTGTTGTATAGTGTAGTGTTGTATAGTGTAGTGTTGTATAGTGTAGTGTTGTATAGTGTAGTGTTGCATAGTGTATTGTTGTGTAGTATATTGTTGTATAGTGTAGTGTAGGTAAGGTAAGGTAAGGTTAGGTTAGGTTATCATCAGGTGAAATAAGGTGTGTGTGCGTGTGTGTACCTTTCTCCAAGAGTCGCCAGGTACAATAATGAGCCACCAACCATATCATTAACGCTACACTCCCTCACCATAAACTTTACTTCACCCCAACACCAAACATTCATATTTTAGTGTTTGTGTACACAGCCGAGATGCACTCACTGTACGTACTGTGTGTGTGTGTGTGTGTGTGTGTGTGTGTGTGTGTGTGTGTGTGTGTGTGTGTATTAATATTATTTATATTATGATTATTACTACTACAGTATTACTATTATTAAATTATTATTACCATCATCATTATTATCAACATCATCATAACTATTCTTCCCCTCATTATTATCAGTGGTACATCACACCATGACTGGCATCACCAAGAGGATCAATGACTGTTCCTGCACTATCATGACGACATGATTTGGCAACAGCCGCCATCTTGACTAATAAGGCGTGATAAAAAAAAATCCCCGAGGTCAAAAAATCTACACCATAACCTCACCTGCTGAAATGCAAGGTATAAGATTAGGTTAGGTTATGATCTGTGGGGAGAGCATTAAGATGACCTCACAGATATCACGTCTATATGCATTTTAACTCATTTGCATATGTTTTTTTTTACCATTTTTTATTCCGTTGAAAGATCACTGATAAGAAAAAGGAGTGTAAGATTACTATGAGGCACCTTGACCACCCTAAACTTACTGTGATATAAGGAAGTTTTTATCTATGTATGAGAGAGAGAGAGAGAGAGAGAGAGAGAGAGAGAGAGAGAATAGTACAAACACACAGTACTATCTCTTCGTACACCACAAAGCTTCACATCACAAGCACAACAATACCTCCACAACCCTCAACACACCCCACCCTCAACACACACCCACCCTCACCACCACACACCCCACCCTCAACCCACAACACACACCCCACCCCTCACACACCCCACCCCTCAACCCACAACACACACCCCACCCTCAACCACACACCCCACCCTCAACCCCACAACACACACCCCCCCTCAACCCACAACACACACCCCACCCCTCAACCCAACACACACACCCCTGCCCCTCAACCCACAACACACACCCCACCCCTACACACCCCACCCTCACCCCACAACACACACAACCCACAACACACACCCCACCCCCAACCCACAACACACACCCCACCCTCAACCCACAACACACACACAACCCACAACCACCCTCAACCCACAACACACACCCCACCCCTCAACCCACACACACACCCCACCAAACCACAACACACACCCCAACCCACAACATATGCAAACAAATTCCAAACAATTACTTCTCGCCTGTCAGCATCAATTAAGATAACACCGTCTATCCTGCCTCACTCGCCTCACACTCACATAATATATCATGGTCTGAGATAACCCCTAGCTGGCTTTCTTGGCTGGGGGGGGGAGGGAGAGGTGAGCCAGATAGCCGGATACATCTATAGCAAATACAGTACAGCCTTCACCACCAACAAAAATAGCAACAGTAGCAGTATTAATAGCAGCAATGACAGAAGCAGTAGCAGTATTAATAGCAGCAACGGCAGCAACAGTAGCAGTATTAATAGCAGCAGTGACAGCAGCAGGAGCAGTGACAACAGCAGTAGCAACACGGAACAAGTAGCACCTAACTAGCATCACCTGAGCTGACAAGACCATCTGTCGCCTTATCTCGCACTGATAACATGATGCCCCTCACCGTGTTAGGGGCGCTGAGACATGTGCTGGGAACCTTCATCGTGGTGCTGGGAGCCTTCATGACAGTAGCAGGGGGGGGGGGCATCATGACAGTAGCAAGGGGCCCTCGTGACAACTAGGGGCCCTTATAACAGTGGTCGGGGGGTCATCGGGAGGAGCAGAAAGTGAAGGGCGGAGGAGTGGCTGTTGTACGAATCCTCACAAGCTAAAGCTATAATCTCCCCTTTAGCCTCATGAGTAAGCTAAGACGAGAACCATCTACGACTGAAGACTGTGTGAGAGGAGCAGATGAGTGAGTGGAACAGGTAAGTGGGTGGAACAGCTGAGTGGGTGGAACAGCTGAGTGGGTGGAACAGATGGAACAACTGAGTGGAACAGCTGAGTGAGTGGAACAGATGGAACAACTGAGTGGAACAGGTGAGTGGGTGGAACAGCTAAGTGGGTGGAACAGGTAAGTGGGTGGAACAGCTGAGTGGTAGGAAAAGGTGAGCACGAAGAACAACTCTGTAGACCTGCCATGAGCCACAGATTGACCTCTCATGACCCTGCTTGACCCCCCTCCCTCCCCAGCCGCTGCCACACGGTCTTGACTCTCACAGTGATGGTCAATAATTCTCCAACCCACAGTAGAGATTTTCCCCACATATATTTTTGAAAGCTAATCTCTCTCTCTCTCTCTCTCTCTCTCTCACACACACACACACACACACAGAGAGAGAGAGAGAGCTCTTTTTGTTAGTGTGTATGTGTGTGTGTGTGTGTGAAAGAGAAGAAGAATGTAAACAATGCAGCCTGAGCACCTTGCACTCAACAGCCAGCCAGAGGGTCAGCTTGCATACAACATCTGCAGCCTTCGTCCACCGCTCACCCCACCAACAAAAACAAGTCACACACACACATACACACACATGCTATTTCCTCATGACATACCTGTAATCAGCTGACCAGGTGTGTGTAGGTGATGGCAATGTGAAGGGGAGGGGGAGACGTACATGATTTCTAAGGGGGAGGAGAAGGGGGATGGAGGAGGGTAGGAGAGAAAGAGAAAGAGTAAAAACGAAAAAAACAAACACACACACACACACACACACAAACACAGTAAAACACCTTAGACGAATCACAGCAAATACAATCGTCACCTCACTGCATAACTAAAGGTACTGTGCTGTAATTTACCATAACCCCCCCCAAAGAATTCTAAAGTCATGTTATTAGCTGCGTTTAAGGCTTCTACCCATAAAACAATCCTTCAGTTTATATGCGTGAGGGAGGCGAGACACCAACTGAAATAAACACCGAAATCTTGTATACTTTTTGACACACTGACTAACATAAGACTCATGATAAGTGAGACATCGTTATACTAAGAATACTAGAATAGTCTGTTAGGTAAATCTTATTAATGGAATATTTCTTGTTTTAAATTTTTGCAACTAACTAAAAACAATTCATATATGTAAAAAAGATATATCATTTGCACTATAATTCTGGTTGTATAGTAATGTATTCAGATAATAAATCAAATATTCGTGTCCATTTCTTATACAGTCAATGACAGTACAGTATAAAGGAAACTTTATATTCTTCATCAAAAAGATCAAGAGCAAAGATTTAAAACTCATACAACATGTTATATGTGTATTACAAGATAGCAAGATGGGTTATCACAAGTCTTACACCACACATACCTCTATATCATCCCGTCATCCAGATTTGATTAATAAATTCTAGATCCAAGATGTGATAACAATAATATTATGATATCCACCCAGGGTCCAGACACGTCAAGTGGGATCCCATTCTTGAAGTAGGTCTTGCGTGGGGTTGTGTTGACACCTGCGAAATACAGCATGTGAAGTTCCCATTCTTGAAGTAGGTCTTGAGTGGGTCTCGAGTCTTGAGTGGGGGCTTGAGCTGACACCTGCAAAACACATAAACTTGTATTAAAACTGTTAATGCTTTCACAGCCACTGACAGTCAAATGATAACGACCTTTTAAGCCATGTTAATTCTTCTACTCAACAACCACTCATGGAGGAGCACCAAAGCACCACTGGTGATAGCTGACGATGCAAGATTAGATATATTTTAGCCCAGGGAGAGAAAAGGTCACAACAGGATTTGCCCCACCAACCTCCTCTTCTTGAGTCGATGTGCGTGCGCTGTCAATACTATAATACTGTATATGTCTGAGTGATAAACATTGGTGGGTGGGGGAATAAACCTTGACTCCGGCACAATAGAGAGATGGTCACAACAAGGTAATATTATATGATAGATGTAAAGGTTATCCCTCTCTCTCTATTCCTCTCTTTCTTTCCTTATTCTTCTTCTTGTCTCTCTTTCCTCTCTTCTTGTCTCTCCTTCCTCTCTTCTCTCTCTCCCTCTTCTTTGTAATCTCTCCTAATCTCTATTCTGATCCTCTTTCTCTCCTTTCTTTCCCACTCTTCTTCTCTTTCTCTCTCCCCTTACCTCTTAACCCTTCTTATCTCTCTCTCTCTTCTATCCACATCCTCTCTCCTCTCCTCTTCCCTTCTCTCCCACACACCACAAAACAAAATACCATGAGCTATACTGACCGCTCGTCCACATAAAAGGAAAAGTTGCTCCTAAACCACACACAAAAAAATATCACAATCAGATCAGGTAAATTAGCCAATCCTATCGATGTTCACGCCTTATCAGACGAATGCGGATTGTGAACTACTATTATTATTATTATTATTATTATTATTATTATTATTATTATTATTATTATTATTATTGTTGTTGTTGTTGTTGTTGTGAATGTTAGAAATTATTGAAACTTTGACAAATTCTTTCTATCTTAACTGAAGGTAGGGAAGGTTAGTACAGTAAATTGATATATGTCACACACACACACACACACACACACACACACACACACACAGTAATTTTCTCTGACTCCGTGAAATATTACATGCATAATAACAGACCAGTTTTTATCATTACACATTTATTTTTGGGAGGGAGGGGTGGGTGTGGGGTGGGTGTGGGGTGGGTGTGGGGTGAGGGCGGCATTACGTATGAAAATGTGGATCAGTGTCTGGTTTACAAAATATCACGTCAACCCTTGGCCTACATTCATTTACATCATATGAAATAAAAAATAAAGATGTGTGTGTCGATACTGTGTTGAAGCCACTATAATGTGTGTGTGTGTGTGTGTGTGTGTGTGTGTGTGTTTCTTCCCTGAACCAACTTTCATCTCTGGCAGCATCAGATAAACAGGTTAAGGGGATTGGGACAGCTAGAGATACGATTCTTCTTGGAACATAATATATAAATATTCCCCCAACATAAACAAGTATTATACAAACACACACACACATATACTGTATATATATATTTACAACCACACATACTAACATGAATACAAACATACATAACCATACATATACATAGAATTACATAAATACAAACATACAAACAGGGCATACAGAGATGAAAGTTGGTTCAGGGAAGACACACACACACACACACACACACTGTACAAACATACACATACATACATACATACATACACACACACATACATACATACATACATACATACATACATACATACATACAGGAACTTCAAACTCAAACATACTTCTCAATACGTAAAAGCGACAATGGCCGGTTAAATCGTGTCTCACCAAAAGGCTTTATGGCTATTATACCTGAGACACGAACACTGGTAAAATGCCTCACTTCTCACCCCCCACCCTCCCTTGCTGACATATAACCTCCCCTCCCCCCACACACAGCCACTTGACCCCAAACACTGCTTGACCTGTTTTGTTTTGACCCCAGATAACCGCTCTCTCCCCTGCGACAGTGTGTGTGTGTGTGTGTGTGTCAGGTCACCCTCATTGTCTCCTGGCTTTATCTCTCAGCCAATCCCTTGTTCCAGATCAAACTCAAAACCATAAAGTAAAAGGAAACGTCTTTGTGTGTGTGTGTGTGTGTGTGTGTGTGTGTGTGTGTGTGTGTGTGTGTGTGTGTGTGTGTGTGTGTGTGTGTGTAGAGAGAGAGACAGTACCTTAATGTACAATTCAACTTGACCAGGGGCGGATCCAGGAATATCGAAAAGGGGGAAAGGATGTCCAAGAAGTTGTGGGTGGGGGAGCATGGCGAGCGCCGGAGTACAATAATACATTACAGAAAAAGTCTTGGAATTTCCTGAGGAAAAGGGGGGTTCCGGACCCACAGGACACCTCCTGGATTCGCCGCTGTTGACACATAATATAAACATCATATTGACACACACACACACACACACACACAACAAAATTCAGCCCATAAGAGACCGCACTGATAGATATAAGAACAGCACCATCCCATCTATTGTTAAAATAATAAACAGCTCCTGATTTATGTACAGTACAGTACAGCCCTGTAAATGTATTGAACGTATATTATTATGTCTAAATCACACGTAAGCTTGTATATTTTCGGCCACCAGCTGCAACTCTCTAAATAAACCATTTATTATTTTTATTATTATTATTATTATTATTATTATTATTATTATTATTATTATTATTATTATTACACACACACACATGACACACACACTGTACATATCGTGTTAACTCTAAAACCCCTTGACATGACCGCTTAAATTATACTTAATAGTATAATATTAATGTCTAGGAGTATAATAAGAACATAATATATATGTTAAGTTTGGCAGGTAAAAGTATAAAGAGCAATATTATCACCTGGGTTTACCTGTAGCAGGGCAGGACACCAGATACCTTCCTTCATTACCATACTGAACCTCTCCCCCTGCATGTTAAACACCTGTTGACATGAACGACACGGTACACCTGACACCCCCTTCTGACACGGAGGGTGACACAGGATGGTGATACAGCCTTCCGACACGGAGGGTGACACAGGATGGTGATACAGCCTTCTGACACGGAGGGTGACACGGGAGGGTGATACAGCCTTCTGACACGGAGGGTGACACGGGAGGGTGATACAGCCTTCTGACACGGAGGGTGACACAGGATGGTGATACAGCCTTCTGACACGGAGGGTGACACAGGATGGTGATACAGCCTTCTGACACGGAGGGTGACACGGGAGGGTGATACAGCCTTCTGACACGGAGGGTGACACGGGAGGGTGATACAGCCTTCCGACAAAGCTACGTGGAACACCAAAGAACAGCAGTAGTAAATCAGCCATGAAACAGCTCTAAAACAACCAAGGAACAGCAAGGTAAAGGCAACATCCTGACCTACATTCACCTTGGGTCACTGACGGTCATAACCTGTGCAGGAAAATGTCGAGTGAAAAATCCTCTTAACACTTTTACACACACACACACACACACACACACAGTCTCTCTCTCTCGCCAAAATAATTAATGCGTCATTCATACCAGTTGCGTTAGGTAGAAAAGTAATATAGTATAGTGAGAGACAAGATATAATAACAACAATAATTAAATAAATAAAACAAAACATTCCTCCCCGGCGGGGAATCGAACCCCGGTCTCCCGCGTGACAGGCGGGGATACTCACCACTATACTACCGAGGAATTGATGTAAGCGATGATTCGCTTCGCTGGTAAAATGTTTGTGTTAACGGTATTGAATGACCTCCTATGACATGAGTGGGGGTTAAGGAGTCATGTCAGGGGTTAATAGTGGTTATTATTATTGTTTTTGGTTGGTTGTGATATCTTAACGTTATCCTCTAAAGTCAAAACTAACAAGCAGTTGATATTAACAATATTGGACATTTTGACCAAATACTTAACATAACAACAAATACTCATTTTCGTCTTAATCAATCTTGAATCCATATCTTCTAAACTCAAAGTTTATTAAAAAAAACACAAAATAATATTAATAATGATTTCGCTCTGTGCTTCTAAGCATCGGTGGTTCAGTGGTAGAATTCTCGCCTGCCACGCGGGAGGCCCGGGTTCGATTCCCGGCCGATGCACATTTTAATTTTTATTTTTCTTTGAGAACGTTTTGATGTACAATGTGATTTTCTTAAATCGAGTCTCATTCATTTACTAAATTAAGACCCATTCATTCATTCATAAATTAAGAACCAGTCACTTATTCGTAGGATATACATTTATTCATTCACTAAATTAATAACTGATCTTTATATTTCACGAGACACAAGAGTGAATAATAATCACTCCTCAACAGACTTGTGTGAGGCGAGCCTTAACAAGGCTTTAAATCGCAGTCTCCTCAACACATTAAGTCGACATATTAACATGACTGCTCCATCGTGAGTTGAATTTAGCAGCCTGAACTTATTAATAATTGTTTGGTGATTGAAATACAACTTGAAGATCACCGTAACTTGTGCTTTTATATAACAACAATGATATCGGCAAAATATTCTGATAATGGATAACGTTGTTTGTAGCTGACCTTCTGATTGGTATATTATTATAGGCATTTATATATACTGCACTATAATTGGTTGAGCCGCAATTACGTCACCTTAAGTTCCTACCCCCACCCCAAGTTCCTACCCTCACCTTAAGTTCCTACCCTTACATCCTTACCTAAAGTTCCTACCCTCACCCCAAGTTCCTACCCTCACCCTTACCTCAAGTTCCTACCCTTACCTCACATCCCTACACCCTCCCCAGTCGTTTACCCGGTGACGCCCTGACGTGGTGGTACACCTCCACCCTGATCTGACTCATCCCTGACCTGAACTGACATGACTAGCGAACATTCCCCCTCTTTGTACGACACACACACACACACTGTAATATCGACATGAGCGTGTGTATATACAGTATATGTGTATGTATGTGTGTTAACCTTTTCCCACTTCATGTACCGAACACGTACACAAAACAACCAAAAAGAGACAAATGTACACTAATAATA